ATATAGCTTTAAATACCTGTGATGATTATAAAGGTGAGGAATTTTCCTAAAATTAGTTTTCATCATCATCATCATTGCAAACAGTCATTAAAATAAGGCATGGCTAAACAAGGATTACTGTTATGGAGATAAGAGATTTCATAGTATTGTTATGAGAATAAAAATGGAATCTCAATTCTTCTACTCTGACCTGCCCTATCTTGCTGTGCCCTACATTTTATGAATGACACTTAAAACCACGGAATTTCTGAAATGTTAGGAATAAGAAGGGACATTTTCTCATGTTTGGTTGACAGGTGAAACAGCCAGAAAGTTTCCGATTCAGTTGTGTACAATAATTCAGAGGATTATAAAGATTAATATACAATTGAAACCAGAAGATCATCTTTGTAGACTGAGGTACAAACAGTTGAAAAACGTCATTTAATTTTGTTTTTATATTGTTTTTGTTTGTTTTATATTGTTTATTTTATTTCTATAGCCTTCCATCTCAAACAAGTGACTCTTTTAAATATTCCTCTTTCTACACAGGGGCCAAAGTAGGAAAGGTCTGATAAGTAACAGAAAGAGGTATGATAGTTATGGGAACTGTAATAAAAAGTAGCAACATCAACGATCCATGAAGGACCATGAAAAGCTCCATTCCTTTTCCATAGAAAGCCTCACCCCTGCAGATGACTCTTAGTCCCCAATCCATGTACCAAGAGGGGCCCCTCAGAAATATTTTGTCGCCCTTCTGCAAATAGCCATCAAAATTTAATGGCATAACTTGCCAGTAAAAATCTGCAATGCTTTATGCAAAAGTCAATAGTACTGTAATCTGCTGGATTAAAAATATTTTTCTCTTAATTTATTTCAGACTGAATCCTTTCATTCCTTTCCATTTGGAGTGGGGATGGGAGCTTTCCTATTAAAGACAAGTTTCTTTCTGCCACTTTTCAATCAAGATCCCACCTACCTTTTTTCTCCCACCCATCACATACGAGTTACCCCTCTGGTGAAAAATAATACCAAATGTCTGTGCCATTAAAGATGGCCAGTTCCTAATATGGCTGATATTCTGTTGCTCAAAGTATATTTAAAAGGCTATAAGTGTACTAATGCTCAGTCCTCAATAAGCACTTTGTTTCCATTTTGCAATTTAGGCAATTAATATTTGATGCAAGTAAATACAATGCCTATGCAAATGCAAGGCTTATGGTTCTTCATAGAATTATTCCTTTTCCTCCTGATTATAGCCGGGATGGATTATTATAAAGCAGCCACATTTGTCTCACATTGAGACTTTAGCATCCTGGAAAAAGATGTGTTCCTCTGTCACCAATCCGTGGAGGCTTTCAGGCTGTCAAGCAATTAAGTGGACCTGAATAATCCTATGTAATTAAGCTTCTTACTGCATAATTATCTTTATTTTAAATGTGTCTTTTGATGAAACATCTGTTCCCTGCTTGAGATTTGAAAAGCAGAACCCAGGCGCATGATGAAAATGGTGCTTGCAAGACCATCGCATGAGGGGCTGATGCTCAGCTCCTGGGTGACAAACATTGTAATTTGTTCTGTCTTTTGCATGCGAAAGGCAGGTGCCACAGCAATCGTGGCCTGCTCGGCTTGACTTCCATCCTTGCTGCAGCTGTCTTTCATATTGTTACCCGAAGCAATAATTGGGTTTGACAATCAAGCGGAGGATTGTTACATGGTCAAGTGGGGTGGGGGCCAAAGCAGAGCACTGCGGAAGCTATCAAAGACAAGTCTGTACAAACACACACACACACACACACACACACACACAAGAGCAGGAGGGATGGAGGGAAAGCAAACATTATTTTTCAGCTTGGCATGATTTCTCTGAGATTTTGCAAAACAAGTTTGCTCTCAAAGCATATGCTTCCTGAGATTCCAGTCTTGGTCCTCTATGAACAAGTTGATCAGCTCAAAAATGTATCAAAAGGGGATGATGGAAAGAGATAGATAATTCTCTTACTTGGTTTTTTTTTTTTCCCAGTCTACCGAGTTAAAGGATTTGCATATCTTAGTAGAATAGAAAAAGTTTTGAGCAGCAACATTGAATATATATTTCCAAAAATGGAGAATATTTGATAATTCTCACTTGCGAAGTTGGGAGTTCTTATCATTATCTAACACTACAACATTCCTCTGTACCTGTATTTTTTTTTAAAAAAAAAAATTAATTTCTGGGATCAATGGCTCTAGCAACATAACCTGATAGAGATACAACCTCAGAATCAACTTCATTTTCCTGTGTTTCCCCTCCCAACCACCAGTTCTCAAAGCTCAAAAGTTCCAGTGGTCCTAAAAAGATACTCCTCCTACTGATTTTGGATCACTTCCTTCCTTTATGTGTAGGTTCATAGGAGTGAAAATATATGTTAATACATCCTTTGTCCTGCCATTCCATGTACCATTGGAACTTCATTGAGGGCATAATACAGGTAGTCTTCAACTTACAACCAAAATTGAGCCCAAAATTTCTGTTGCTAAGGGAGACAGTTGGTGTTAAGTGAGTTTTGCCCCGTTTTATGGCCTTTCTTGCCACAGTTTTTAAATGAACCACTGCAGTTATTAAGTTAGTAATACAGTTATTAAGGAAATCTGGCTTCCCCATTGACTTTGCTTGTTAAAAGATCACAAAAGGTAATCAGATGTTCCCAGGACATTGCAACTATCATAAATGTGAGTCAGTTGCTAACTGTCTGAATTTTAACCTCATGACCAGGGGATGCTGCAACTGTCTTAAGTGTGAAAAACATTCATGACACTTTTTTCAGTGCTATTGTAACTTCTAACAGTCACTAAATGAATTGTTATAAATTGAGGACTACCTGTAATCCAATACACAAGCTACCATTGAAAATAATAATAATACAGTAGTGGCATTCAGGTTATGAAGCATTTTGTTTCTTTATTTTACACATTTCTGTATTACAGATCTCAACAATTTTGTCATCAGCTGAAGCAGTGGTGGAATTTAATTTTTTTTTAATACCGGTTCTGTGGGCATGGCTTGGTGGGCGTGGTATGGCTTGGTGGGCATGGCAGGGGAACGATACTGTAAAATCACCATTTCCACCCCACTCCAGGGGAAGAATACTGCAAAATCCCCATTCCCTCCCCACTCCTGGGAGAAGGATATTGCAAAATCTCCCACCCCGCTCTGGGGCCAGCCAGAAGTGGTATTTGCCGGTTCTCTGAACTATTCAAAATTTCCACTACTGGTTCTCCAGAACCTGTCAGAATCCCCTGAGCTGCAGTATCATTGAATAAAACCCATCAACTTCCCACAAATATCAACACAATTCATTCAAGTATAAAACAACATCATGTAATAGTCATCCAGTCACCACCAAAGTATGTATAAAATTTTCCTTTCTAAAAAAGTGTTTTTTCAAGAATTGCAAAAATGGACAGAAAGGCACTAGGCAAAGCATCAAGAAATCTTGCCTTGAGAAAGCGTATTTTGTTGCATCATGTTATTTTGATGCCAATGAATGACTTTGACAAGCTGGTTAAAACTATTTCAGATATATAGACTGTATTTTTTTTTATCTCTTTCATTAAGTTTTATGTTCAGCTTGCACTCATTTTAGTGTTCAACAGTTTAATTGCTATTGTGTCCATAATATGCTATTATATATAAAGAAATAGCTTGTATTTTATGAAATAGCTTAATAGTCAGGGCACCATCTCAAACCAATTCATATTATTGTTCCATATAAATAACAAATCTTGCAGCTTTGTTCACCCAACATGGTAAGATTAGCTGATGTTAATTTTTATTAGATATTTGTGGCTTGGGTATTTTGCAAACTAGGTCTGTTTGTAACTTCATAATCAATATATTCATGAACTCAGAAAATGGGTTAATTCAGTAATTAGATTAAATGTGTGGTGTGAACACAGCCAATAAAGAAAACTCATTCAGTGTCAAGTCAGAGCAGATAGGTATCAGAAAGAAAATATTTGTGTTGTTGTCATTATTTAAAGGGAGAGGGGATGGAAAAGAAAAGGAACAAATTGAAAATGTTGAAAACTATAGACAGGCTAAACACAAGAATGGACTACAGAGAGATTAAAATGTTTAAAAGGTAGACAAATAATAAAATGGTATAAATCTAGAGAAAACCATTCCCACTATGACGTAAAGCAAAATATAATCTCTCTCTCTCTCTCTCATACATAGACACAATCACATTTCTTCACTCCCTCATTCTCTCCTCCCCCCAAGAAAATCTGTTTGAACAAATTGTAGGACAAGAGTGAGAGTCATGGACGACATTCTTGCAAGCATTTTGATAAACAAGGAGTTAAAACTTATCAATAGTACTGTATATTCAGCCCAATACGTCATTCACCTTCTTTGTCTTTATTCATACATGTAAAGAAAGTGTTTGTGAAAAAACAAAATTTCTGTCCTATTTCTGAATCAATCTGTGAATCTCTCTGAATCAATTTGAAACTATTTTATTTGATACAGTACCTTGATTTGATTCAATACTTTGTTTGAAGGGGCAGTTCTGCTAAACTTTCTTTGAACTGAATTACTCATTCAAACATACAGTCCAACAGCAAATGTTATTACATTTTTTTCTATTGCTTGCTTACTTTTCCTGTGAAATATATGTACAACAGAATTTTCAATTCATTCAGATAGCAGCATAAACAGTACTTTAAGGACTAGGGCACTGTGATCATGTCCATACACCCTCCTGAAACATAGATAACCAAGTATTGCAAGGTTTTACAATTTCGTCCTAGGATCTATTGATATCTTGTGCAGGTATACCAAGATCTCATGAGAGGTTATAGCATTCTAAGTAACTGAATCACAAACATTCTGAGATCACCAAAATTTAGCAAAAGTTGGTAAACTTGCTAGATATTTGTCACATATAAATGCCTTACTTATATGCCTCCTCCTGCTTGGCATTACAAGGGTTAATTAACTCTGTCTCTCTCCTCCCATTATAACCACTCCTCCTTACCTTTAGCCACTCCTCCTTGGTATATAAGTGATTCCACATCAGATGTTGTTCCAGTTCGATGCAGCATCCTAAGAGAAAACAGAATAGAAATAATAAAGTATGATTTAGACATACCAATGACTAAGAGTACTTCTTGGATTAAATCCTCGTATATTAACAATATTTTTTTTTAAAAAATAGACATCTCTTTTATTTTAATTCAGTTTTAAGGCTATGAATAACTTTTAGAGAGCAATGGATGGTCTGGAATCCATGCCTGCTCCAAAGTACATTTTCAGTTAGTTTTATGAATCTTGTAATCCAACACACTTCAAGGAACATAATTTCTTGCTTCTGCCTCAGACCATCTACTTAGACCATTGCCAAACCATTCGATAAACTTCTCAAGACTGACAGAAGCCAGAAGCTCAACCTCTGCATGAACTTCCAGTTTAATTTGATGGGACAGAGTGCTTTGATAAGACCTGTCCAAACAGTTAAATTGTCTTGAAAAATCTATCAGGTTTTTGTTAGTGAAGATGGTTGTATAAGCTCTTTAAAATGGACAGAAGTAAACCTCATAATCTTGAGAGTTCTCAAGCATAACATTGTCTGAAGGATTTGGGAACACTGGTAGTTTAAACAACAAGTCACCCACCACCTTAATTGCTGTCATATATCCTGTTTTTTGCAGTAAACACTGATTCACTGTACTTCACAACTACTGAAGCAAACCATTTGGTTGGTGATGCTGGCAGAATTCTTAGCCTTTCATTTGTCATGTCAATGTGAACTAACATCACCATTATGATTATATTTACAAGCATTCAGGCTTTGTTCTATTTATGTTCAAGAAAGCTGCACTCCAAATGTGTATAAAATGATTCTGAAAATTCCCTTTGATAAAATAGATGTTTGGATTTTATTTTATGTTATGTATGTATTTTAAATTATATGCCTCACCCCATTCAGTAATTTTCCTCTCTGGGTGGTAAGCAATGTATCATAAATAATGAAACATATTTATATTTTCACAGTAATTCAGTCAGACCATTGGCACACAGACATACATACAACATAGGTATGTTCTAAAACCTGTGCTCCTGCATGTAAAACCTAGTAATAAGAGAGAGAGAGAAGCTGCGAAGGTCATGAATGTTCTCTCCCCCCCCCCTCTCTCTCTTTGTAGAGAGAGAGAGTAAAATGTATTGCTAGTAATACTAATAATATTTCAAATAATAATAAATATTATTCTTGGAAATAATACCTGAGAAAGTGCTGTGAAAGTAAAGAACATAGAATAATAGGCTGGGAAGGGACCTTGGAGATCTTGTAGTCCAACCCAGTGTCCATAACAGAAGATCCCATGCCATTCTGAGAAAATGGCTGTCCAATTTCTTCTTGAAAATTCCAGTGATGGACCAATCACAATTCCAGAGGCATTGTGCCATTCCACTGAGTCATTGTTCTCAGTATCAGGAAATTTCTTCTTAGTTCTAGGTTGGATCTATCCTTAATGATCTTCCACCCAATACTTTTTGTCTTGCCCTCAGTTACTTTGCAGAATAAGTAGATCCAGAATTGGAAGCAATATTCCAAGTGTGTTTGATGGGAAAACACACAGTAAAAATGGCATGTTTTTATCATATGTCCCATACCATTTACTTTATTAAATTGCTTTTTTATAAAATAGAGTTTAATGAAAATCAGATGTTTGTCTTTATGATAAGTTTAGTGTACAATTCCTTGGCTAAATACCCCAGAAGAAAGTAGTCAGGCATAGTTAATAGAAGGAGTTTAAGTGTAGGAGTGGAACATTATAGTTTGAACTTTAGAAGTTCCACTTTGGGGAAATATCACCAATTACAGAACAAACTGCAGACAGAATTTACCAACTCATAATCTTTTGTTGTCTAAAACCAATAATCACTACTTTCTCTTCTACTATCAGGCATTGCTCTTCCTTAATTGAACATCCATTATAGATGATGATTACTATTTTTCTTTTACAGTTATTGTGTTTGCCCTATTCTCACTTATTTCAAGCATTTCACTGGTGTGGGTTGATCATGGCATATAGGAAGGTAACTGTTTTTATTGGCTTTTATTTGAATTAAGTCTGCTCCTTCTGTGGCTGATAATTTGTCTAATTATTGTTGATTCATGCCTTGGGTCACAAAAGGAAAAGATCTAAGACAACTGATCATTCCCTTTGAAAGAGCCAGCTGTCTTTGTTTGCTTAGAAAAATGAATGTAATTTAGTTTTAGACAATGTTTCAATTCACCGTATCCCTTATTACATTAGAGCAATGTGGTTCCGTATTTACAATAGATACTGTTTGTAGATCTTGCAGCTGGTTAATTCTCCTGAAATATATGGCCAGATTATATTGGGCCTTGTGCTTTCATTTTTCCTTTGATGTATTGTTGTCTGTTTTTTTCCCCCTGTGGAGTGCTCTGAGAGTTGGAAAGCACTAAGCAAATATTAAAATTAAACAGTAATTATGCGCTTTTAAATGTCGTTTCTGTTGACACAGTGATACTAATGTGGTGCTGCCAAGCTGACGACTGACAAGAAAATGCTACTTTGGGAGGTCAGGCCCTGGGTGGCCTACGAGAGTAACTCACATTATTTTGTGATTGTACAATACAAACCAAAATGGGTCAGGACTTAAATTTCAGCTTTCAGAAATAAAATAAAGATACTTGAAATAATCCTAGCCCACAATTTTCCAATGGTAGCTGCTTGAGGCTTTCTGTAATCAAATCAGCTTCTCAGAAGGCTATAGTGTACAGAATTTTGAAGGTACTATTCTGGTGACAGTCCTCAGGAAACTGACACTGTCTGTGGCTCATCATCTGTCAGGAAAGGCCAAATCAAGGGAAGACCTAGCAGAGAACCACCATTTGAAAATGACCCAAGTTGTTCACTTAGTCCATTTTTGCATCTCCTGTCATAGAGTGATAAAGGCTTGGAGAAGAATAGTCTGCAACCCAGGGATACAAAGAGGCTGAAACCCTCTTTGTATCCTTGTTTGTCCTCAGGAGTTACCACGCAAGAAGCTACAAGTATTTATTGTTCATTTGTTCTACTACATTCCCTTAATTTTATGAGGGGTTCAAATGCATTCCTTCCGGTTATCCATCTTTTTTTCTCCTGTTCACACATATGCATATGCTGGAAAAGCTACAACTACCTAATGCCTTTAAATTTTTAATCTTGGGAGCTTTTTAATTTTTATTCTAAAACAGAGAAGGGTAATTTTCATGCAACAGAGCTTCACATGAAATTAGTTTGGCTATGGTGGCCTTTCTAACAGCAATGTCAGGTTGAATGTTTTGAAGAGGGTGCAGCAAGTTTGATTCTCGAAGTCCCATAGAGGTGTTCAATTCCAAAAATTATTTTATTGTCATGAAATGGAAATTTGCATGATTGAGTTCCATATAGACATTATGAACATTACTTCTGCCAGTCCGTGAATCAGGAGTGGGGTCCTAGTAGTCCATACTTGTCATTAAATCATTCCTCAAAGATTTGTGAATTTATCACAAAAGGCTACATTGAGAATCTTTTTCATGTTCATTTATACTTGAGAAATATTAAGTGACAATAGAAGTCTTGCCCATAAGGATTCCCTCCCTATAGACAGTCACAATGCACTGCATATTCAGAAAAGTATAATAGCACATAGAGAAGTATAATGTCACATATATCACACTGCTTTTTCTTTTTTCTTTCTTCCGCTCTCTTTTTAAATCTTTGACAAACTCAACTATTCATATTTGGATAATGCAGGAGAAACCAGACTGTTGTATTCATGAGAAGTGGTATTACGCAAATGCTTTATTCATCTATTGTGTTATGTTTAAGTAATCTTTCTAGACGCTCAGTCTTTATTTGCAGAGGGAAGCGCTAATTGCCCATTTGCTATAGTAACCTTTTAAAGTGGACAGCATTGCTTACCCAGTTTGACACATACTGTCCCTTTCTCTAATTATATTGTGCTTGCATTGAAAGGGTACCTTGCCATGTGAGGTACTTAATATTGCTTGACAACATCTATTACAGCTCTTCTTTATAGAGTACAAACTTCAAAAAAAAATGAATAGAAGAAAACCCTGTTTTGTTCATATTATTTCCTTTTCCTGCACGGGCATCAGATTTATAGCATAATACATTGATTAGAGGTGTCATAGGACTATTGCCTGCTTTTGAAAAGACAAATAAGGCCATTCCTTCTGGATTAAGCTTCATGCACTCTCCAATGTTCAATATGAATGTGCAGCCACCAATAGTATGTTCTCTTGAGCAAAATTTAAAACTGTATTAACTGTGAACATAGTGAAGCATAACTGGGCATTGCAGTGGGACTTTGTACACAGACGCATGGAAAGAGTGGTTTTCCTATTATACTTGTTATGATATTGGATATTGATATTGGATCTTATTGGTGATTGCTGAACTTACACGAGGATATTAACAATGACATGAGGGAATGGAAGTGATGTGAAAAGTGACTCTTCTAACAGGAACGTATTAGATTGTTTTAGGAAACCATTCAGCATCTACCCCATATGGGGATGAGGATATGAGGATGAGGATAATAATAAGAACTAAGCAACCCATAATTCATTGAGTCATCCTTTCAGAGATATTTTCTTACCTAAACAGAGAAACAGAATGACCACATGTGGATTGCTATTATTTTGGTTTTAAAAGTAAAAAAAAGAAAACATTTTATTAAAGAAGAAATATGCATAGCAGGAGAAATTGCTTGTTATTGTTCTTGTTTCAGAAATTCATTAACCTATGATGATGATGATGTGCCCTTCTGGCAACTGTCTGGACATGTCCCTACAGTTTTCTTGGGAAGATATCAGAAGTGATTTCCCATTGCCTCTTTCCTAGGGCTGGACAGAGTGACTGGCCCAAAGTCTCCCAATTTCTAGCCTGATGTCTTAACCATTGCACAAAGCTAACTTCCATTTATTTATTTTTAGGTGCTACTAATCCTTTTAGTGCCGATGCTGCTTTCAATGAGTACCATCATAGGCATGTCAATGTTTATTTAATTTTTACATTAAGGGTGTGAATAATCATGGATAAAGAGTCCTTCCTTTGCTATTATTTGAAGACATTTGCCACTAAATGATCACATCTTTGTTAACAGGTTAAAGAAAACAATCCTGAGAAAATTCTCAGTCTGAGATCTGTGAATGGCAAAGAAAAATCATCCAGGAACTCTGTTAGATGTATGTCTCACACTGATTTAATTCTCAAAAACATATTATTGAAAAAGGCCTTATTATTTACATTTGACATTTCAAGCAAGCGAATAATCACAGAATATTCCATAAGAATCACCCATCTGTCACTGTGTTTTATACAATATGGCAAAGCTTGCAAGAAATTGTGTTGTTCATTATGAGGCCAGCAGATGCCATTTTATTTTAAAGAAAAGACACTAGAATATCCTGCTGTGAAGCACATGGATTAACTGAGTATTACATAGCAAAATCTGGACACTTCTGAGATAGGCATGCCTCATAATTCCCTGATAAGCTCCAGTTCATATGGCTGAAAGCTATTCTGCTCTATAATACATCGTAGCCAGCTGGGGACAGAATGTATCATAGGTAATAAAGGAAAAAAGAAGTGTGCACACCAATGACCGGAAAGTTGGAAAGTGCAAGATATGCACTCTAAAACATTGGTGGAAGGCATGCATCTCTTTTCAAAGGATAATGTTTGTTCCGGTGAGAAGATCAGAAACAAAACATACACAGAAAAAGAAGAAAAAGACGACAGGGCATTTTGCTGTAGACAGGAGAACTGGAGAACGTGTAAGAAAAGCTATTTCTTTGAGTACATGGTTATAATTTATGGTCCAGACACTGTAAAATCATACTATGTGAATGACTTACCTTCCTTTTGGCACAGTAACAGATTAATGGCCCTTGGCAGGCACTTTCACAGATAATCTTGGAACAGATAAAATATAAAACTTGCCACTGCCATTTTATGCTTTTTTTTAAATAAGAGAAATACCGAAAAGGTAAACAAACCGGCAAGAACTAATGAATGTCTATATGTCTCTCTGCGTGTGCATGGCTATGTGTGATATGTTTGTTTTTGGCTAAATGATCTGCTTGTTTAGTAAACTACATGTCATCATTTTAAAATCAGAAAGATCCCTTATGAGGGGGTATATTCAGCTGAATGCTGAAAGAATACTAAATAATTGGGTAACAGGACATCTCAATAACAGCCAAATAGAACAAACATAACATGGTTGTTTTGAATTCAAGAAACAGATTTTGCCTGGCCATCAATGAAAGCTGGCCGACATTCATTGTCTTTGAAGTAAAAATTAAATGTATGATGAAATACATGAACATAGGATGATAGCAATGGAATCTGCAGCATGAAAAATAGAGGATTTCCCTTTATTTCTTAAACCAAAGGTTAGTTTAACTAAGGATAGACCAAGTAAAAGATGGAATGGAGGCCCTTCCCTTCTCTTTCTCCTTCCATTTTCCCTTTGGTCAAATAGGAGAGAACAATGATGCAGTTCTAATAGTATGGTTGCCATTAGATCAACATTCGAAGTGAAGTGAAGCAGGGCTGTGTTCTCGCACCAACTTTATTTGGGATCTTTTTTTTGCTGTCATGCTGAAACATGCTTTTGGAACTGCAACAGAGGGTATTTACCTCTGGACCAGATCAGACGGAAAACTCTTTAATCTCTCTAGATTGAGAGCAAAGTCTAAAGTCCAACTGAAATGCTTATGGGATTTCCTCTTCGCTGATGATGCTGCCGTCACTGCTCACTCTGTTGAAGACCTTCAACAACTTATGGACAGATTTAGCAAGGCCTGCCAAGACTTTGGACTAACAATCAGCCTGAAAAAAACACAAGTCATGGGTCAGGACGTGGATTCACCTCCCTGTATTACAATCTCTGCACAAGAACTGGAGGTCGTCCATGACTTTCTGTACCTCGGCCCAACTATCTCTGACACTCTCTCTTTAGATACTGAGCTGAATAAACATATCGGTAAAGTGGCCACTACATTTTCCAGACTTACAAAGAGAGTATGGCTTAATAAAAAGCTGACGGAACATACAAAGATTCAGGTCTACAGAGCATGCGTCCTGAGCACACTCTTGTACTGCAGTGAGTCTTGGACCCTCTAGGCACAGCAGGAGACAAAGATGAACACCTTTCATATGCGCTGTCTCCGACGAATTCTTGGCATCACCTGGCAGGACAAAGTTCCAAATAGTGCAGTCTTGGAACGTGCTGGAATTTCTAGCATGTATACACTATTGAAACAGCGACATCTACGCTGGCTGGGGCATGTCATGAGAATGGCTGATGGTCGGATTCCGAAAGATCTCCTGTATGGAGAATTAGTGCAGGGAAAGCGCCTCAGAGGGAGACCACAGCTGCGATATCTGCAAGAGGGACCTAAAGGCCCTGGGAATGGACATTAACAACTTGGAAACCTTGACCTCTGTTCAGCTTGGAGACTAAAGACGCAGCATGGCCTTCTCCAATTCGAAGAGACACTTGTTCGGCAGGCTGAGGCAAAGAGGCAGTCCCAGAACTAGCGAAATCTGGAGGCTGGGCAGGGGACAGAATGTATCTGTCCTCAGTTTGGAAGGGATTGCCACTCTCAAATTTGCCTTTTTAGTCACACTAGATGCTGTTTTAGGACCTCTTTCCAGAGCATGATACCACAGTCTCTTGAGACTGAAGGATGCCAATGAAGATCAACAAACCAGATATCATATTTACAAAGATGAAAATTTAAAGAGATGAAGTAATAGCACTAGAATATTCCCATAGTCCTTGCTTAATGACCAAAATAGGGACTGGCAACTCTATCCTTAAGCAACACAGTTGTTAAACAAGGCATCAAATGATTGCAACTTACAGTTTCACTGTTGACTTCTCATTGACTCTGCTTATTAAAAGCAGGTTGTGAAGCACACAAATGGTGATCCAGTGACCATGGGATGCTACAAAGGTTGTAAGTGTGGTGACCAGTAATAAAATTAGTTTTTAGCATTGTCATAATTTCAAATGATCATTAATCAGGGTAGTCAAATGAGGACTATATGTGTTCCCTATGCCATCCGTCTGGTAAATTTGCAACATTCGCTTTTCTCGCCATGTATATGTATACGTCCGAACTAGACTGTGTTGTTTCTCTGTGTAATATAATATACGTGGGTATGTGGATATATGCATATTTTTATTTATTTATTTATTTTTGGTTATGTTTATGTTGTGTATGTTGGAGGTGGTGACCCTTTGAGAGCTGTATGCAATGAAATTTCATGTTAATGTATGCTGATTAGTGTACATTTAAAGGGACAATAAAGTTATTCTAAGTCTAAGTTCTAAATTCTCTATTGGTCACAGATTCAATCTGATAAATGATAAGCTACCTCTTGCTTTTGTTATAATTAGGGATAAGCAACACGAGGTCCTTCAAATGCTGTTGAGCTTCAACATCCAGTCTCCTAATACTCTAGCCAGCATGGTGAGTGATGAAGAACATCAAGATCTGTAGTTCTATCATTTCTGAAGAGAACAAGATTCTTTTGTTTCACACACTTGCATGTATATAAACCTTTTCTGTTAAACTGATTCAGGAACATAAACAGCTCTTATTCAGCCAGCAATCTAAGCCAGTGTTTTAAAATTCCTAATTTTTTTTTACTGACAGTTAATCAATATCCCAAGTTACATTTGTTTAGCAGCAATTTATTTCTTGATTATAGCTGCCATTTTCATACCAATGTCAAGCATTCCAATTATATATTACTGTGGTTCTTCTTCTTGTTATTAATAAACTAAGGTTGAACAAGTGTTTTCATGAAACAGTTTAAATAAATCATGTCAAGGAGCAAGAATAATAAGCACATGAAATCTACTTAAATTATCTTGTAGCAATAAAGAATCCAGAGAAACTTCACTTTATAAATTGGTTGTGTGCCTTGGTATATTTGTAATTTGTTTTGAATGTACCAATTTTGAATTACTGTGGGATAAGTTAGATTTGATGCATCAAAGAGATTCAGGTAGTGAATTGCATAAATCAGGGATGTCCAACCTTGGCAACTTTAAGACTTGTGGACTTCAACTCCCATAATTCCCCACCAGCATGAAATCCACAGGTCTCAAAGTTACCAAGATTGGATACCTCTGGTATAAAACATAGCACCCAACTTCCATCAATGGATCTTTTGTTCTGCCAAATACTAAATCTACATCTACAGCTGTCTTGGTGACAAAATACTAGTAATGTCTGTTCCTAACCACAATCAATCTAAATGAAAAAATGTGCATTCTGGTATCACAATGCAAGCACTGCTTTTCTGTTCTTACATCACAATGTAAGACAGAAATGGCTAAAAGGGCAGAACCTAGGTCAAGACATTGCCACATGTCACTTCAGGGTTGACAAACACTACTGAATACAGTAGTGAAAAAAGCCACTCATGCTTGTAAGGTTAAATTACAAATGTTCAGTTACTATCTTACAAATGTTTCACCTGCATATCATATTTTCATCATTGTTATTCTGAAATAGCATTTCTTTATAATCTTCTGCCAGATTAATTAGGACATCTTTTTTGCTAGTGGAACAAGTACGTGTGTGCTAAGCAATTAATCAAATAAACTTTGCACTGCCAATCCATACACACAGGTGTTTTTATCATTGTTTTGTATGTTGATATATAAGAATCAAACACCATTTCTGGTGTTGATAGAGAAACTCTTGCTTTGCTTAAGCAATGTTACAAAAATTATCCAGGAATAGTTCTAGCTTCATTCCTGATATCAGATTTCTATATGCAGTTTTCTATATGCACAAAGTATTTTTTCTTGGAGGATTATTCCAAAACTATACCATGTGATTCTGTTTGTTAGGTAGCTCAGTTTTAAAGGACTATAGAAGTGCACAGTTCACACAGTGGTTTTTTTTTTAATATTTCTTCTAACTGATGCTAGAAGAAAAGAATGTGAATGTCTAAAAACAGTAATTAGAAAATAAATTAGCTTAGCTTCTAGATGAATATTATATAGGTTTACAGCTTAGTTAGGATTTGATGACATGCGCCTTGAGCTGTCTCCTGCTTTCTGCTTCAGCATAAAAACATCAGCCATATTGCATTCAAGCATAAATGATTGGTGGGAATAAGTCTAATTGGAGTAATGTCCTGATTTGGGGCTTTTATTTATTTTTTTAATCCTTAATAGAAACATGGGAGTATTGACATGAGCAGGTCTAATTGTAATAATAATGCCAAAAAGTGAATGTTTTTAAAGTTAATTTCTTGGTCTTTGGTTAATCATCTGGGGTAGGTTAAATGTTTTCTAATTATGGCATAGTTTAACCATGCCTCAGAATGTGACACGGTAAAAATAGGAACCTCAAACGTTAAAAAGTGTTTAGATTCAAGGTTTCTTATTTTACTGAGAGGAGGAGGGGTGCAGTAAAAAATAAAGCAACCTTTTTGCCTTGCTAACAGTCTCTTACTATCTTTATTGCAAGCAGCTGCTTTTTTAATATTAGTATTGATTTCTTTTATGTATACAGTCTGCTCCTCCTGCTCAGACTGTGAGTATAAATGCAATACTCATTTTGTTCCTGAGACCCATTACAAATCATTTTCACTGATATTCAATAGCATCTCAACTATTATTATTTTCTCTGGAGAGTAAAGTAGGTCCCCCCACCCCACCCGTTTCCTCCTCTGAATCCTGTCTAAACTTGCCTGGCCTTTCAGAAAGGAGCTTTTTCTCCCTTGAAACAAGAAATCTATTTTTGAGTTGGTTTGTTTAAATGTAGATGTAGATATAATCATTAAGCCTTGGGGATGGGGGTTGTTTTATTTGTTTAAATTTAGAGATATGAAGGGTTATTTTGTGAGGGAGGGAGGCTTTACTTTATGAGACATTCAGCACAAATATTTCTCTACACTGCTATAGTACGGTATTCTGTCACTTTCCGAAAGAAATGTGAGAAACTTTTATAATCTGGCAAAGGACCTGCTTATTCTATATTCTGTCTGTCTGTCTGTGTGCCATACACAGAGAAACATACACATATACATACATATGCACACACATACATACACACACACACACACACACACACACACATTATATATTGCCATGGTTTTCTTTAAAACCAGATTGATTATCACAGATTAAGACCAATGATTTGTAGTCTTTCTTGGCCATAGTTATCATGTTGGTTTAGATCAGGGGTGTCACTCGATTTCATTGAGGGCCGTATCAGGGTTGTGTTTGACCTTGGGGGGGGGGGATGGGAGGAATGGCCAGAGGGATGTAGCCAGCTCAGTGTCACTCCTGTTGGGGGCGCCTGTAGTGGCCTGAGTGTTCTGCCAGCAAAAACAGGCTCCTGAGCTCGCGGCCCTCCCAAGCTCCGTTTTCACTAGCAGAGGGCTGAAGGAGGCTGCAGCAGCTGAAAATGGAGCTCAGGAGACCATTTTCGCTGGCAGAAGCAGTGTGGGCCAGTCCTTCACTGTTTCCAGGTGGTCAGATCTAAGTACCCCACAAGCTGGATCTGGCCCCTGGGCCTTGAATTTGACTCCCTTAGTTTAGATAGTGAGAAACTATTAGTGTGTGGGTTTTTTATAAACATGCAAATAGTACACTAATCTTTGTTTTCCTTCTGATATTTCTGTAGACCATATTTTAATTTCTGCCATTAAAATTAAGGATTTAATGCATAACATGTGAAAAGAATGCAAAAGGGTCAGCAGAGAAAGGAAATCAATTAAATTTTTTCTTTCCACTGTTGGAAACCTTTTCTACAGGGGTCATGGCTGATATTTACCAAAGATAGTTATGTCAGCTTAGAGGACTATAGCCCTTCCATATTTTTTCTTCTCCTATTAGAGCAAAGTGTGTTGCTTTCAGTTTTTAATTTCACATACTTCCATGGCACATAATAATTCAATACAGCCTGGATAAGTTGTTATTTTTAGTAAGAGATAGCATGATCTCTAGCCATTTTCGCTGCTGATCTTGCATATAAGGCTTCCCTAGCTCCTAAAGATCAAAAGATGGGAAAGCTGAGGATAATTCACTAGACAATTAATTAAAGCCTCTTTTCCCACTGCTTTAAAAAGAAATGCAAGATAATTGCAAATTAGTATTAAAACCTGATCAATGAGGAAACTTTTCAAAAAAATAAAATAAAAATGGATATAGCGTACGACCTTCTTTGAACTGGATGCCTTGATCTCTCACTAGAAAAAAAATGAAATTTGTCAGAAGCAATTATACATTTAACCATACTCTCGTAATTTGGAAGATCACAATCACAGGTTAAATATCACTTAGTTTGTGCACTTTTTATTTAATAAACTGAAATAATAAATTATGCCTTGCTTTGAAGATCATTGGCAATGATATTAAATATGTCCTTGGTCCAAGGCCACCAAATTCCCAAGCAAAGACGTAACATTATTAAAATAACTTACGTCTCAAAATAACTAATTCTGCAAGTACTGGATGCTCTGAACATGATGGATTATGGAAGTATTTGAATTACATAACAGTCCAAATGTTACATTGGTTTATTAAGAGAAGCATGAATCACATAGAAACAAACTTAATTTTATATGGGAGGGGGGAAGGGCCTGGTAGGTTACAGCAAGTTAGAAGCAAAAGAAGTATTTGAAGATTACATCTCTTTATACCTGAATTTCACAATTGTAAAATGTCTTCTGATGTCAGATTTCAATGAAAATAGATAAGATAGATGATATAGATAGATAGATAGATAGAAAAAAAGAAAGAAAGAAAGAAAGAAAGAAAGAAAGAGAGAGAAAGAAAGAAAGAAAGAAAGAAAGAAAGAAAGAAGGAAGGAAGGAAGGAAGGAAGGAAGGAAGGAAGGAAGGAAAGAAAGAAAAAGAATTCTTTATAGGACAAGTGTGATTGGACACATAAGGAATTTGTCTTGGTGCATATGCTCTCAGTGTACATAAAAGAAAAGATATATTCATCAAGAATCATAAGGTACACACTTAATGATAGTCATAGAGTACAAATAAGCAATCAAATCATATTAGGAAACAATCAATATAAATCGTAAGGATACAAGCAACTAAGTTACTGTCATACAGTCATAAGTGGGAGGAGATGGGTGATAGGAACAATGAGAAGATTAATAGTAGTGCAGACTTAGTAAATAGTTTAACAGTTTAACAAATAGCCATCAAAAAAGAAAATTAAAAAAAAATCCTTTGTTATTGACAATGGTTACTTTCCAACTGTAAGGCAACATGACTGACTAATTTTCTCCATACTCATATATATGAAATAGGAGAAAACAAAAAGTTTGGCATCCATGCACCCATCTTATTTGCACACATACAAAAAAAAAAAAATCTGTCTCCAAGTTTCTACAAACTCAACGTTTCAGATTATAATTTCAATTATTGTTTGCTCCATTTTATTTGTCACGGAGTTGGCTTTCATTAGATAATGGCGTAACAGCTTGCCCCACCAAGCCCTGTGCCCTGCAAATCTCCCCTTTAGTATTAAATGTGAAAAATAACAAATATTTTTCTGCTCTTATCTGGAGCTGAACCTTGTATTTTTTATTATATTCAGAGTTATTTGTTTCTGAAAGATTAATCGCTGCAGGAAACTGGCAGTTATTGAGTGAAGCATCTATGTGATTTCAACAGTTTATATAAAAGAGCTGTTGGAGAAAGGTATGAAAAAGCTGTTAAGGGATAAGGAAGGAGTGAACCATTAAGGAGGGACTGGCAGAAAAAAAATTACATAACCCTGAGAGAAAGGGAAGTGTGAGAAATTAACTCAAAAAAGGTCTGCCTTGATTTGGTTTGGTGTAAAACAGTACAGAGAGAAACATGGACAGGCTTTCAAGATTTTGATATATTACTTTGGTACAAAAAGGAACAATCCTGCTCTGTCTGTTTCTTGACTTAGCCTACCTCAAAGGACTGACAGTCAAAATATTTCTGCTTCTTGCATTCCTTGTTAAAGCTACCACCTATGAATAATAATATCTTAGAAACTGCTATGAAAGGTTACAGGAATAATGGAGCTCATAGGGAAGTCAACAAAAGACCCACCCTAATAATAGAGGGGTGCCCCTATGCTCAAAGCTCCATTCACCAAAAGTCAGCTTTATGCAGAAGATTAAGGAATAAACTTATTAAAGTGAATAATAATAATAATAATAATAATAATAATAATAATAATAATAATAATAATAATAATAATTTTATTTCTATACTGCCCTTCTCCTGAAGGACTCAGGGTGGTGTGCAGCCTATTAAAAGCACAAAGATAGACATCAATTAAAAATAATTAAAATTATTAAATAATTTTGGCTCAGATTTAAAACCCCAAAAATTTAAAACACCCAATTTAAAATCATTACATTGATAGCCCGGCCTGGCGGAACAGCAGGGTCTTGAGGGCACAGTGAAGTACACGGAGGTCGGAGATCTTACACATTTCCGGGGGCAGTTCCACAGGGCAGGGGCTCCCACAGAGAAGGCCCTCCCCCTGGGTGTCGCCAGCCGACATAATTTGATGATACTCATCAACCAATAGCACTTTTATGTCTGTCTCATAGGGAAACCTGAAAAAAGCCAGGCTGTTTTAATGAGTAACAGAAGCACTGCATTTGTGTAAAAGGACTTCTGAGGTTGTTCTCAGATAAAGATGTTACAAACCTGGCTAGCCACAAGCTATTTGTCTTAGTTACTGTTTCTTTAAGGACCACAAATAGGCTCCCCCCACACACTTGCTCCCTTAAGAGGCATCAGATTAATCAATACTAACTGGACAGAGGTGGTATTCAGTCAATTCGGACCAGTTTGGGTGAACTGGTAGGTCTGATGATCAGTTGGCCCCACCCACCCACCCACCTACTCTATCCTGTCCTTTATTTCCTGCTTTGTAGCTCATCTCAATTGTGCGGCACAGCTGATCCCCCCCCTTTGCTGTTCTGCTTACCGTTGCTGACTTGGAAGGTATGTAGCTGAGCTTCTAAATGCTTCATTTTTAGTACTGCACGCAAGTGCCTTAGGTGCACAAGCACACAAAGCATGCATGCAAAGAGCGCACTCACCGAACCGGTTGTTAAACCAGCAGCATCCCACCACTTCAATTGGCCACTTAGAGAAAAAAAAAATATTTTAAGGCAGTTTTTGTTTTGAACTACATGCCAGACTCCACACCCACCTCTTATCTGCTCACTCTGTGACCTTTATTTCATGAAGCAGCACACTTGATGAGAAAGGAGTTCAAGGAGGATCTTTTTCTTGCCAGCAATGGGGCTTCATAACTACCACTCAATTTTTCATTTTTAAAAAGTCTTCAGCAACTCAAAAGCACTAGGACAATTAGTACTAGGAAATTATAACCAGCTTCTGAAACAATGGAGAAAATTAAATGTATCACTCCTAAGATATATAAACTGCAATAAAAATGACCTCTCTCTGTCCCTTTCTTTTAATTTCAGTTTATGCCCATTATCTTTCAGATGATAAACTGAAGCCCTGATACTCTTTTGTACAGTGTTTGATAAAATAAATATTAAGTCTGAGAAAAGTAGATTAGCAATTTCCAAGGTCACTCTCTATTTAACACCATGTCGTCTCTACAGTACAACAGACACAGTGATTATGATGGAAATGCATTCCATAAATAGAAACAGTCTCAGCTTTGTTGCTGAGTACTTTAAGAAAGAGCCTATCTTCCACCTATTTTTTTTATATAAAAGCTAGACTAAAATGTTAGCTCCTCTCATTCCCCCTTCCAGTCACTTCTCATCATTTTTGAGCATACAAATGCAATAAATGAAAAGAAAGAAGCTTCATATTGGTCTCAGATTAATAATAAAATCAGATTTGAACCATTCAGTCATTCAGATTTATTTATAACAATTCCTTCTCTATAGTTTTAATCCTGATGATTTACCTCAGGAATTTTTAAAAATATCTACCTTGGAAATTTTCAGAAGTATCATATAGAATGAGTAACTCTTCTCATATAAATAGGAGGTTCTGGGATGCCTAACTTGAGTCGGTGTGGTATAGGCAGGGGTGGTCTTCAAAAATTTTAGCAAGGGGTTCTCTACCCGGTTGCTGGGTGGGCATGGCCATTGTGGGCGTGGCCTATTTGGCCTCCTGCACCATAGCGGGATGGGCATTTTTGCCCTCCCCGGGCTCTGGAGGCTTTCCTTGAGCCTCTGGGAGGGTGAAAATGGCCTCCCCGGACTCTGGAGACCCTCTGGAGGCCAGAAATGTTTCCAGCCTTCCCGAACTTCTGGTAGGCCCATTTTTTGCCCTTCCCTAGGCTCCCTGCACTTACCTTCATCCAAAATGGGCCATGTGGGGACTCCTGGGAGGGGTGGGGTGGGCGGGGCCAGCCAGGAGTGGGGTTCTCCAAATTGCACAGAATCTTAGCTAGAGGTTCTCCCAAGTCCCTACGAACCCCCAGCAGCCCACCCCTGGCTATAGGATTAATTTGTTGGGATGATTCTGGAGAGACCACCATCCAAGTCCATCCTCAGCCACAGAAGCTCTCTAGGCAATTTTATTTCTTCACCTTTTCTTAGCTGAAGGTAACCTATAGGATTTTTGTTGAGAAAGAAAATACAGGGAGGGAGTGGTATGCTCACTGCATTGAGTTCTTCACAAAGAGGCAAAAAATAATTCTGAACAATAAATATATGTGAAGGGTAGAGCTGCAAGAGGTTACCTAAAGACTTAATTTTAATAATATATAGATGTTTAATTTAGCATGCATTTGAGTATAACATTTGGGTAGGAAGATTATCTCTCTCTGCCATTATCTCGCTATCAGTAGCAAAGAATGCCGTTTGAGCACCCAAGATATTCAGCACAATCACTAAAACAACTTCAGCTCAGCCCTAGGAAATATTGAAAAAACACACTGATTGCCTTTAACATCTTTCAGATGTCATCAGATTCTACCTACGGATTCATCTTGTGGGATCCATTACATTTCTATACATGTGGCTTATCTGCTTAGCTATAAAAATCTTTGAAAATTAGTTGTCCTGCCATTATTGTTAACCAGTTAAAATGTTTAGTTCTGTGATGCATTGCTTCTCTTCTTTATGTCAGTGGAAATGGATCTTTAATGTATTAGACATTAATCAATAAGTTATCTGGAGCAGCACAAATAATAATTACATACTCTTAGAAAAAAGCACCAAGTCTTACATGGCAGAATTAGATATAAATAAAAACATGTAACTTGGCTTATTTCAAAAAATCAACCGACAGAAAACTGAAAACATGTATCACATAGACATGTTTGTGACAGAATAGGATCCTTTTATTTTCTTTTACATTCACCATATTCCATGGGTGTCAAACTTGCGGTGTCACATTGCCGTCATGTGATGTTTTGAGATATTTTTCCCCTTTGCGGAGCTGGGGTGAGCATGGCCTGCACATGACACATCCAGCCCGCGGGCTGTCAGTTTGACACCCCTGCTTTATTCCAACAAGTTCTTCCCCAATCAACTGTAATTTTGGAATATAGTTCTCTAAAATTACCATATGTTCAATTTGTACCACCATGCTCCCTTATTGTTGCTGTTTTCTCTCTAAGCCCAACTACCTCACAGGGTTATTGTTGTGGGAAAACCAGGAAAAGGAAGTTGTGTTGGATATGTTCTCCATCTTGAGTTTTTTGTAAAAATAATAAAGGTGGGATATTAATAAACAAATAAATATTAGATACAGTAACAGTTTGATTTCAATGTTTAATACAACTGATTTCTTTTAAAGATATTCTTTAAAAATTGAGATTTTCTGGGTGGTCAGCTGAGCATCTAAACAGACTACATCCAATCTATTCCTTATGTAGATTATTACATCATTATCAGACATTTTTTAGGAATTCATCAATCAGAGGTCAGCAGTGTGGAACATTATTTCCATTTCCTGAGACTTAAAGTACTGTGCTCTGATATCACAGCTGCAATTTTTAATTATGAAAAAAATTAAGAACAAATGAAGTTACTGTTTGGCTTGAATGAAGAGCTAAAGGATTAATATTTCCTTAAAGATTCATCAATTGTCTATGACTTTAGACAATATCATAGTAAACTCAATAATTATTAATCTATAATACATTTTGATCTATTTTAAAATTTGGTTATAATATTCAATAATTGATTTGTATTATCATTAATTTAAACTGGATGTGTGCAGCTTTCCATTCAGCTTCCATGTATATTCCTGAGTTAATTTAATATGGCATTCAGGCTAACTTTTAAAGTGACTTGTGATAAGGGATTACATTGAGTGGGGCATTTTTTGATGGGGGGAATACCTTATTCTACTTTGCTTCAGTTTCATTTATCCTTGGTGTACAATAAAGACCTGTCTTATGGGAATGTATTCCTCAATAGGAAAAAGACTTTCCACCCCTTTCTTATGATAGGAATGATGTAGGAGAAGGAGTGGCAGAATATGGGGGTTGAATCAAAACAGAATCAGCCTAGAGACTCTATGTAACAATAGCACTTAGATTTATATGCCGCTTTACATCCCTCTCTAAGCAGTTTACAGAGTTAGCATATTTCCTCCAACAATCTGGGCCCTCATTTTACTGACCTCGGAAGAATGGAAGTCCGAGTCAACTTTGAGCTGGTGAAAATTGAATTGCTGAACTGCTGGCAGTTGGCAGACAGCAGAATAAGCTTGCAGTACTGCATTCTAACCACTGTGTCATCACGGCTGTTATGGCCACATATGAACTAAGTCCATCCCCTCTTGAATTCCATTGACTCTTATTTAATGCTAAAAGAATGCTGTTAGTTGAGTAGATTCTTGTGCATGCATATGTTTATAATAAATTAACTTAATTGGAAGTTCACATGTGGTACTGATATTTCACATCTAACCAATGATGGCATATCTTTAAAATGTATTTGTATAATTATATGAAAATATTATCTGCCCTGGTGATTTTTTTTGAAAGGCAGATTATAAACACACACACACACCAGGTATCTATGTGTTCACTCTATTCTGAAATTATCATTTCTAATATAGGACAAATGATAATGTTCATTTTATCTTCCATTGACTGTGACTGCTCATTCAAATATTTCAATTGAATTTCCTATAATCAGTTCCTTGCCAATCCAATTACCCAAAACAACAACAACAAAAACCAGGTCATACTGTATTTTGTTACAAAAATGAGTAGGGAGTAGGGCGGTATATAAATCCAAAAATAAAATAAAATAAAATAAAAATAAATAAAATAGGAAAATAAAAGATAGAAATGTGAAAGAAACCGATGATTATTTTCTACCTAATGCTTTTTGTTCATTTAAGTACCTTTTCAAGCTACGACTGTGATACTAATCACATTTAGCAGATTTATATGCATTCAAGCTAGCAAACTGAACACATTTTGTAGATTGTTCCAAGGTGACTTCTGAGTAGACAGCAGATTTTTTTTTCAGGATATCATGTTTAAATTGGAGCTCACGGCAGAAGTTTCCATATGGCTAACAGCTCAGGGAAGGACATAAGACATGTATAGCATTACTCACAGTATTGATGTATACAGGACAGGGATGGTTACAGAAGGCTGGACTTGAATCCAGTTTTATTTATGGATTTTTCTGGGGGATCTTTTGGCAAGTAACTTCCTGTCAAGTGTCCCATTTTAAACAGTGGTGGCACACCCTGCGGGACTGATGTGAGAACAGATGAGATTTGCAAATCAATCTGCATAGTAAAACAACCAAAGAATAGCATAGCAAGCTTGTTATCTCTCTTTGCAGCTTGAATAAATTAGGATTAATGAATTGGGTCTTTGTTACAAAGGACAATCCATCCCTTCTATCTAGGCAACATTTCCCATACCTTTTTATCTTACCATTCCTTTTGTGTGTGTTTTGGCAACTGTTTGAGTTGTTATTTTACTTCTTGGTAGAATAAACCTGATGGGAGGGGGGGGCTCTGACTCTACAGCATTTCTTATTGAACTTATTTATATAATATTCTTTTGATCCTAGAGACAATCTTGCTCAGAAAAGTAAATATTTGTGTTTCAATTGTATGGATTGTTTTCTTTTTATTTTGAGAGTCCAATATAAAGCTTGATTCAACTGTAACATGAAATGCGATTTCCCTTCCGGAAATAAAATTATGGTGCTGCTGAATTTGTGCGCTGTTTACTTTTTACTATTTTGCACATCAGAAAAGAGCATAAGAACATAGGCACTTCAGAAGCTACCTCATACTGAGATGGGGCATTTCTCCATCTTACTCA